GGGGGGGGGGGGGGTTGAAAGAATTTAAAGACTCACCCGTAGCAGTTGTAGGAGTTGGAGGTTCCGGCCAGACTACCGCTGGGACAGAGGAGTCAAGGGCTCCTGCTCCTTCCCTGTCCAGGGCCTCCCATCTAGCTAGAAGGGAGTCTCCTAGTCTCTTAGTCTCCGGTAGAGCTGTATTTCTTAGGATAGAAAAGAGTTTGAACAGAAAATCCGCAGTAGGGGGAAAACTTGGGATGAGATCCCAAGAGGCTCCAGGGATGATCAAGGGTAAGACTGGGGACCCCCATTTTAGCTTTAGGCTGGTGGAGGCCGGGAGCAGCGGGATTTTCCCGTCAGATAGAAGGAGGCCAGGCCATTTAGGGTTTGAGGCTAGGGCATGATCTTTTAACCCTGCAACCGAGTCGGGGTAGATTAATAGGGAGAAGGAGACAAACGTGCTGCTGGAGGGGTAAATAAACATCCTCAGGCAAAAGGAGCCAACCTCAGCAGTAATCAGCTCTTCATCCGTGAGGGCTGAGTTGGAGGCTATGTTGTTCCGAAAGAAAAGGTGGTTGATATCGGATTCGTCGACATACTCCGAGGTCAGGGAATCCGGGAATAAGAACAGGTCCGGAGAAGACAGGTTAATTGACAAGGATATGGTATCACTGATGTTTGGCCAGAGTTTTTTGGCAGGAATAATCAGTGGTTCAGGGAGGAATTCGCCAAGTAGGGAGAATTGACCTCTAGAAACGGAAGTGTTGTCATTTGATAGCCAGAGGACTACAGAGCCTACAATCTTTCCATTCCAGCCCATGGACCTTAGAACATTGGCGGAACCCGGTCCTGGGCCATCGGTGGTGACGGACTTCAGGATCGGCAGGGATAACATCTCCCCTGCAGCAAAACCTCGGCCTTTCAGAGTTATCTGTTTTGGTTTAGGAGGCATATTACTTCAGGTATAGCTGAAAATAGCAGATTTAAACGATAGAATAAAAAGAGATTAAACAAATAAGAGAAAAAACTTTTTCGGTTCTAAACTTAAAGAGAAAAAGAGATATTTCTCCGTTGGTGTACTGTAAAGTTGCTAAAAAGTTAAAAGAAAAAGGTAAAAGAAGCATGACTTGAATAACAAACAAAACAGTTACCCTGAAATCTTAGCGACAAAAAAGGAGAAAAATCGAGACAATAAACAAATAAAAAGTAGGACAGGTGTATAAATCGGTAGTAGAGTTAAAACCCTTTTGTTCTAATGATTCACGAAGTCCTAGCAATAAAAAAGAAAAACTAAATGATGTTTAACAAAGAAATAAAGACCAAGATGTAACACTGAAGTCGGTAGACGAAGAACTGACCTAAACTACCTGCCACAAGCCGGGAGTAGAGGGCAGAGAAACTCCCCCCCCGCAATCAGCTGACCCGACCAGACACGTACAAGGATTTGTAACCCCCTGGTGGCCGGGGTCGGCACTAACCAGGGGCCTAAAATAACAGTATAGATAACCTAATCTCTGCTCAGGAATATATTTGTAGAAGACCTGAGATTAGTTAACGACCTAATCCCTTCGGCTCTCGCTACCTTTACTCGCGCGTAACACTATTCATTGCACATCTCATACTAAGTCATTAATTTAAAATCTGCCTAAAAAGTCCTAAGATAGATTGGTGGGACGAGTAGATTCCTGGGATGAATTTGTCCTACCAGGCAGTCATAATAAATATTTATATCTGTGTCTGTTAGTGCATATCTGTATCTGTGTATTAGAATCTCTGTATTTTTGTATCTGTGTCAGTGAACCTGAACTGTACCTATGTACCTATCCCTGTACCTGTATCTGTATCTGTATCAGTATCTGTATCTGTATCTGTGTACCTGTAATTGTATCTGTTGAGGCTGCTCTGGAGAGTTTCCAACGTGTTCTGGACCTGGAGAACGGTGAGAAGGGTGAGTGGGGGTTCAAGGCCTTGAAGCAGATGATCAAGATAAACTTCAGGTTGGATAACTATGATGAAATGATGAGAAGATATAAACAACTCCTCACATACATCAAGACTGCAGTAACTAGGTAGGGTATACACTATACAATATTTACAATATAAATAAGATAAACGTATTTTCTGTTTAAATTGGTGAATTTCAACCGCCAATAAACCTTTCCGAAGGTCCCACAAAAAAAATTGGGCCTGATGGGTTCAGAAGTTTTGACGTTTATTTGATAATTATAATCCAACCAACAAACAGACAAGTCAATTATGTTTAGATATATCGAGTTTATCATGATTTTGTTCACTCATGATTTCCGACTTTTCTTTGATCTTTGCCTCTAAAACTATGTTATTAATTGAAATCTTAGATGATCATTATAACTCCTCATTTTGGACGTAATAATTATTTACTACAACTACTTTACAGGGAAGTTAGGGGAATTTTACTTTACCAAGGGTTCCCAATTTTGTTTACAAAACATCCAATGGGTTGGTAATTTTGGTCAAAAGACGGTAATCTAAATTAAACTTGTGAATCTACGAGATCACAAAGTACTATCACACAATTATTTCTTATGTATAGATTTGAGTTGGTTGAGGTTTGTAATGTTTAGGAATCATTCTGAGAAATCCATCAACTCCATCCTTGATTATATTTCTACAAGTCGTCAGATGGAACTGTTGCAGAATTTTTATGAAACAACACTAGATGCTCTCAGAGATGCCAAGGTCTGACTAAATCATTTATTTAAAAATGAAAAATTTTAGACATTTAAAATACTATATTTTTACTGAATCAATATGTTCAAGTGCAATAATAAATGAATTTTAGAAATGTTTTCACTTACAAATGCTCACTTAGAAATAGCATTTTTATGAAATTTGATATTTTTACAAAATGAACATCTAAAACCAAAAAAAGAATGTTTTTTTGTTCAACATGATCATTATAAACATGGATTACCTGGATTAATCAAATTATTTTTTATACCCTTTTGTTTTTTTATGTTTATGTGTGAAAAATATATCGGTAATGATATTAATATTCTTAGTTCTTGAAACCTTAAATTTAAAAGTCAAAAGTTTGAGTTTTGAGGGAATATACAAGTAAGGAAAACTGTGCAGTACATTTATATAATAAAGCTTTTCGCTCATACATATATATATATATGTTTCCTGCTTTATGCAATCTTCAGTATGTTGATTGTTGATATCTATATTATATATGTTAGCTATAGCTCAAAATCAGAAATTATGAGAGAGAAAATTTTTCTTGGTGTTTTTTCAAATTTTCAAGGGCAGCTAGTAAATATTATTTATTTAATAAAAATATAAAATATTCTCGGTTTTATTTCCTATGCAACTTTACTATTTTTGTTAGCTCTAAACGTAAGAATACACACCTTGGGTTTCTGCTCAGCTAGAGTAAGTCCTCCTAGTTCAGTCCGAGCGCGTATGGGCGCGCGGTCTCGTCTAGGTGAGTAAACGTATTTTTTTTTACATGGGAAAAAATGGAAAAATCCTAAAATTGTTTTAGAATGAGAGACTGTGGTTTAAAACAATGACTAAGCTTGGAAAACTATATTTTGATCGGGAAGAATTCAACAGACTTGCAAGGTGACCAAATTCTATTTTGAAATAAGGACCAGTAAGGGTTAAACATTTTTACTAGGAATTCTATGAATGTTTACAAAAGGTAGTTAGCAGAAATGTAAAATGGCCGTCGCAAATGGGGTTCAAAGATGATTATAAAAATCACAAGTAAAACTGAAAATAAAAATTTAGAAAAGCATATCACTATGACCGTGGTGTAACCCCGAGGGTGGGCTCAAATCAGTTTACATTTTGAAAAATGTTTAACATTTATGAAGCAATTTCCATAAAAATATGCTATTTAAAACTTTTATTTTAACTTCTACGTTTTTTTTTCTTTAATTAATATTTACGACGGCCATTTTTTATTTCTGTGAAAAATTATTGTTGTATTAGGTTCTTGAAAATATTTTCAGACAAATCCTGTACCCATAGTTGAGATGAAGTTGAAGAAATAAGAACATCAAATTCAAGATTTGATTTTATTTCAGAGTTTTAAAGCAGCTGAGACAAAGTTGCCAAACCGACGAGGGAGAAGATGATCTTAAAAAAGGTTTGTTTATTTTGAATATTTTAATATTCTTAGTATTTTGAACCAATCTGTCAGGAATATTTTCTCTAAGTACTAAAAAAATGTAATCAACAATTAATCCATGTTTCAAAAATTATCCTTTGATTTATTCCTTATTTTCTCCATGTTTTCTTTTATCCTATTATTATTTCAATATATTCAGGGACCCAGTTGCTTGAAGTGTATGCGCTTGAAATCCAGATGTACACCGCGCAGAAGAACAACAAGAAGCTGAAGGCCCTCTACGATCAGTCTCTACACATCAAGTCCGCTATCCCTCACCCTCTCATCCTCGGCGTGATCAGGGAGTGTGGAGGGAAGATGCATCTAAGGGAGGGGGAGTTCGAGAAGGCTCACACAGACTTCTTCGAGGCCTTCAAGAACTACGACGAGAGTGGTTCCCCCCGGCGCACCACTTGCCTCAAGTACCTTGTCCTCGCTAACATGCTCATGAAGTCAGGGATCAATCCCTTCGATTCGCAGGTTTTTATTTTTTGATAAACCATTTAAATCTTGGATTCTAGTTTTCCTGAAAATTTATGTTCTAAATAGAGGTTTGCGCGTAAGTTTTCGTGTTTATTATTTTTGAGTTCCAGGGGTTTCTTTACTTTAGTGTGAATTTGTCCACATATTTATTACAACGTACAAGAAAGGAAATTGATACAATTAATAGTTTGAATAACTCATGGAACTTGACAAATATTATTATTATCCTATGAGTTAACCCTAACCTGGTTGGGCTTTTATCTAATAATGGGATGGGGGGGGGTGGGGGGTCCTCAACAGTCTACATTCTGTGATATTTTCCTTTTATGATATACTAGCTGTAGGGCCCGGCGTTTCCCGTGGAAAAATAAAAAAAAAATTGGAAAAAAAATAAATTGAAAATTCGATTTTTTTTCCCTATAACACCCCCCCAACAACCCATGAGTGTCCACAAAAAATTTCAGCCCAATCGGTCCAGCCGTTTGGCCGGCTATACGCAACATATATATGAATGTCTTGTTTTATTACATAGATTAGCATGTTTATGATATTTATTATGTCTGTTTTGAATCACACTTCCGAGTGTCTGTAGAATTTGAAACTGGTTTTGATTTTGTTTATATTTAGGAAGCTAAACCGTACAAGAACGACCCTGAGATATTAGCAATGACTAACCTTGTGACCGCCTACCAGAACAATGATATTAATGAGTTCGAGAAGATCTTGAAACAGAACAGACAAACCATCATGGAGGATACATTCATCAGAGAGCATATTGAAGACCTACTTAAAAATATTAGAACCCAGGTGTCATTTGAATCCTTTATAATTACACGGCGATGAATTTTCCATTCTTGTTCAGGTTTGGGTTTTTTAAAAGTTTTTTTTTGCTTGCAGGGTGCATACCTTTCCGTTTCCAGGCTCTTCAAAAAATGTGGGCAAAATGCAAAAATACACTGTTAAAAGTATTCCTACGTTATGTTCTGTCTATCGAAATGAGCGAAGACAAGTTCTATCCCTCGAACAGGATTTGAAAAATGCAAATATTTGAGGTTCATTTCGTTCACTCCTACCTAATAGGAGAGGCCCAAGCCACAAATTACAGTTTTATGATTCTTCAGGGAATAGCGAAAATGTTTTCTCTTTTTTGATAAACCCATTTTTACAGTGTATTAAAATAGACATTGAACAACGTTTCTTTTGTTATGTTCAATACTTGATTTAGGTTTTGATAAAGTTGATCCGACCATACACAAGGATACAGATTGGTTTCATCTCCGGAGAATTAAACATTGAACCTGGAGATGTGGAGAACCTACTTGTATCCTGTATCCTAGACTCAACTATCAGTGGAAGAATAGATCAGGTATAGGATAATAAATTTTTCATGATAATAATGTTGACTAGCAACTATTGATAAAAATACATACTTTTTTAATACATGAATCACAAGGGAATATCAGTATTATTTTTATTTACATCATTGAGATAGAATGATTAATGTTCATTGATTTATTGATTGATAAGGTGCGCGGAGTGCTTGAATTGGACCGCGCCCCTGAAGGAACTGCTCGCTACGCGGCATTGGATAAATGGACTGTACAGTTGAATAATCTCCAGAAGCTGGTTATCAACAAGATGCTCTGAGAGTACCAAGTAATTAGTACAACTCAAAGACAATCGTATGTACAGTGTACACAGTACAGGAGTACAAGCGTTAAGCCGCTAATCCGAGTCAAACGTCAATAGCTATCTCTGTTAAAATATAAATTGAAATTAACTAATTTTCTTTAATAATTTTCAACTTTTTGTGAGGAAGAGTAGAAAGAAAAACAAATACACAGCATTTAATTTAAGATTTTATGCATTTTAAAAAGTATTTAAAGAAGAATATTTTTATCTAAAAGGACCTTAGAGGGTCTGTCTTCTTAATTTTGAGTGACACTCCAGCAGAAGGTTATACTCCCGATTAGTAGCGGTACCATTTAAACCTTGGACGAAGTGATGGAGATATCCTTGTTTTTCTGTCTGAATTTTTTTTTAAATTTTCAATCGTGATTTCTCTTTAAAAGAGATCAGAGGCAGAATTTAAAGACGTTGAGCCTCGGCTCAACTATGGTTTGTTCCACTTAGAATTGTATTCAGTGTTTCAGGGTTTTTTACATCAGACGATGAATAAAGAAGTTAAGAGAAGTTTTTTGTTTTCAAGATAGAAAAACAACGATATCTTCCAAATAGTTTATAAGTAAAGGTTACCTTTGTAAATGTAGGGTCATTAAAAATTACGTCGAAAGTACTTTTCTATAGAACAATCATACAGTGATAACCAGAAACTAAAATATGAAGACGACTTTACAGCAATACTTTAGTGTATTTGATGCTTTTCAAAGCAAATGTCTTAAATAGCAATTAGTCCGATCTGGTTATTGCTTAAATAGCAATTAGTCCGATCTGGTTATGGCTTAAATAGCAATTAGTCCGATCTGGTTATGGCTAAAATAGCAATTAGTCCGATCTGGCTATGGCTTAAATAGCAATTAGTCCGATCTGGTTATGGCTTAAATAGCAATTAGTCTGATTGGTTATTGCTTAAATAGCAATTAGTCCGATCTGGTGATGGCTTAAATAGCGATTAGTCCGATCTGGTTATGGCTTAAATAGCAATTAGTCCGATCTGTTTATGGCTTAAATAGCAATTAGTCCAATCTGGTTATGGCATAAATAGCAATCAGTCCGATCTGGTTATGGCTAAAATAGCATTTAGTCCGATCTGGTTATGGCTAAAATAGCATTTAGTCCGATCTGGTTATGGCTAAAATAGCAATTTGTCCGATCTGGTTATGGCTAAAATAGCAATTAATTAGCAACTAAAATAGTAATTGAATTCCGTGATTTTCCAGCGCCTCAAGATCCAATAGTTAATCTTAACCCTGTATTAAACATTTATCTAACCAATAATGTGAAAGAGATTGTCGTTTTTATAATGTAAAACTGTTTAATTCTGATAATTCCTACATATTGAACGGTGTTTTAAAAACGTGGAAATCCAATTCCAACTTGATCAGACACGGCTTAAAATGGTAACTCTATAAATTGGACATTTCACTCTATAATTGGAGTTTTACTCGAAATTAATATGACTGAGAAAAGATGGTTATCGGATACATTTCAGGTAGGAACAGGTGAATGTATAAAACGGGAGAATGGATGATTAAAATTACGAAAGGATGAATGAATGAATGGTAGGAAGGAAGTATGGCTTGAATAAACCCCTCCCAAGTCGTATAACCCCGTGTGTGTTAGTTTAGTATAAACCTATGTCTATATATTCAAAACTCTATTTACCAAGTCCAGTGTCAACATACAGGGAGTCTCTAGAAACAAGTATTGGTATTTGGAGTACAGTACTTCGGGATAATATAAACCTCCCTGTAGTTCAACAAACAATGTAAATTCAGGCCTAATAGAGAAACATGCAAATATTGAGAGGAGGGGAGGGTAATAAATGGTTTAGGAGAGAATGAGAGAAGATCCTACAGGAAACATTTTAACCGACAATGTGCCGATGGCGAAGATGTCGTGTAAATAATTCTGAACTTTATATGTTCGACATCGGTTTGTCGGAGACTAAAATGTTTGCAGTGATGGGTTAGCTGGGTAATGATCAAGAAACGCCCTAACCGAACCTAGCTAACGTGTTGCTTTAAATCAAAGTTTGTCAAGGAAGAAAATGCACGAGGAGTTTTAAATTCTAATTCTATAACGCGTATTAAACTTGTTGTGTAGTAGTATGTTTGTTAATTTGTAGGAGTTTTTTTGTTAAATTTTATTTCTATCTTCCACAATTTAGCTATCTTTGCGGTTTCTCTTTACACACTATTGCACGAGGCTAATTATTATCAAAATAAAATTTTAAGAACGTGAAGGATAAGTACAGAAATAGAAAACTACATGATCAAATAAGAAAGGAAGACTTATTGAATTGTGGAAGTGAACTAGGGCCGGAGGTTAAATTGGATGATTTGAGCAGAGAAAAATTAAATTGGAGCCAGGATTTGACCAGAGAAAGGTTAGATTGGAGCCAGGATTTGACCAGAGAAAAGTTAGATGGAGCCAGGAATTTGTTCAGATTGTAGCAGAGAAAGGTTAGATGGAGCCAGGAATTATGTTCAGATTGTAGCAGAGAAGGTTAGATGGAGTCAGGAATTATGTTCAGATTGTAGCAGAGAAGGTTAGATGGAGCCAGGAATTATGTTCAGATTGTAGCAGAGAAGGTTAGATGGAGTCAGGAATTATGCTCAGATTGTAGCAGAGAAGGTTAGATGGGGCCAGGAATTATGTTCAGATTGTAGCAGAGAAGGTTAGATGGGGCCAGGAATTATGCTCAGATTGTAGCAGAGAAGGTTAGATGGAGTCAGGAATTATGTTCAGATTGTAGCAGAGAAGGTTAGATGGGAGCCAGGAATTATGTTCAGATTGTAGCAGAGAAGGTTAAGATGGGGCCAGGAATTATGTCAGAGATAAAGCAGGGTCTTAAAAGGTAATGTACAAGTTTAAACTTTACCTACATTGCAAATTGTACATTGAGTCATTTCCGCTTCCTGTTTAACAGTTTTATGTTTATACATGTTTGTTCTATGATTCAAAGATTAAAGATTTTAAACCAAAAATATCACATAAATTAGCGAATATCAAATTAATTCCTTACAACTGCGTAAGATACTGTATAAAGTATAACTAAGAACAGCCACAAATTACAAATCTGACATAAGGTTCAAGTGAAATCAACTATCCAATCTTATTTTTTGTCCCAAACCTAGATAAATATAAAATCTGAGTCTAGGTGCCGTGAACCCCCCTCCACCCTTTCATATATTTTTTTGACAACCCTACGTGACTATCTATCTAAACTTAACCTGACCTGGAGATCCAATATCACACAAGGTTTCCAAAAAATGTTAGTTTTTAGGACTCATTACATAATCTCTCATTGTAAAGTAATTCCTGTATTTTAAATCTGAACAGTCACTTTAATGAATTCAAGAACAAAGGAGGGAGTTTATCAATAAAAATGATTATTCTGTAAATTCTAGTTTTACAGCGGTTGACGTCATTGTTATGAATAATTTAACCACAAAATTTTCAATTTTGCATTTATCATTTGATTTCTGAGACAGAAGTATTCTGGTCATTGTCAATTTATTTGGTCGGGTAAAGTAAGTATTGATGGTGTCAATTTTGTGTCAGTAATATGCATTCAATTTTACAAAAAGAATGAGACAATTTGACTGAACTTTGCCTGGAACCAAGTTTTCCCTAGAAAAGTCAACCTACTCAACTTAGAATTTTAAAACTAAGCAAAGAGCGTTCTTGTGGTTCTATCGAGTTCCCCAATCAAAGTTTTAGGCAAATTGGTAAAGGCGTTAATTAGTTATGTTCAGACATACAAACAAACAGAGATTACTACTTTACATATACAGATGGCAAGATAATATCTAATACAGAAGATTGAAATGAAAATTACATGTCGATGTAGTTAAATAGAAGAATATCGTTATCAGTTTAAAGGGAATGTAAAGGAAAAGTTAAAGGGGGTATAGACTAAAACCTAAACATTTTATGAGTTGATTGAGGCCTATAAGATTTTTATCTAATGGTCCTGTCTTGAGAAATTGATATAAAACTGTGTAATATTTAGACGAAAATCTATGTAAATAAAATTTTGTAAAAAAATCGAAGGTTTAAACATATCACATTTACCAATTTCGCTACCAATCTGAAAATGACAACATCCCAGAGGAATCTAACAAAGTTAGGTTTGCTCCTATTATTATTTGAATCCAATCATTTTCATTTTCATCATGTAATTGATAATATAATTAATACGTCCGTATCATGTGACCAGAACTTTCGCCAATGGCAGTGCAGTTTACTTGTCACGTGATACAGACGGAGACATGTGACAAAGATAATGCACTGCCACTGGTGGGAGTTCTGGTCACGTGAAATGGAGGTATTTATTATATTATCAATTATATTAATTAAAAATGAAAAATTATTAAATTCAAATAATAATTGGAGCAAACCTAAGTTTGTTAGGCGCCTCCGGAATATCGTCGTTTTCAGATTGGTTGCGTATTTGCTGAACATGATCGGTTTAAACCTACGATTTTTATACAAAATATTATATATATAGATTTTTGTATAAATTTGACACAGTTTTATATCAATTTTCTCGAGACAGGAACATGAACNATCTGATTCATAACAGTACCCTTGAAACCTTTATCTGATTCACAACAGTACCCTTGAAACCTTTATCTGATTCATAACAGTGCCCTTGAAACCTTTATCAGATTCACAACAGTACCCTTGAAACCTTTATCTGATTCATAACAGTACCCTTGAAACCTTTATCTGATTCACAACAGTACCCTTGAAACCTTTACCTGATTCACAACAGTACCCTTGAAACCTTTATCTGATTCATAACAGTGCCCTTGAAACCCTTATCAGATTACAAATGTGGAGGAAAAAAACTATTTTTTAAAATTCAAAATCCAATGTATTAGGGAAAAATTATTAAAAATGTTTAAAAATTTGCATTTTTAAATTTTCTGCATTGAATCAGCATGAGTAAGTTAAAAGTTGATTTTTTTTTCATTTTAACAATGTGCAAACTGTGAGTGTGAATGCAGTAAAGTTTATTATCAAAAATATAAATTTGTTTGTTCATGGGAATTGTGGTTGATTCATTGAACATAAGGAGTAGTTGAACTTGGAA